TCCACAGGAAAATACCACGATGGATATAACCATCGATATCATGGGGATGGCGAAACCTAGAATCCAACCAAAAGTGTCTTGAATGTAGGACATGAGAGTGACACCCATGAGGCTGCCACTGCAGACACCAAAATACCACCACTGAAAAAACACACTCTTTTTGTTAGATTTTTGGTCATCTTTGCTGCTAGGGAGTTCCTCTTCACTGTCCAGTTGGTCTGCTCCAAATGCTTGTAGAGATGGGTTGTATCCACCTTGACCAACAGAAATCAAATACAGAGACCAAAACAGAAATGATGAATTGGAACTTGTTTTGTTTGCAGCAGATGATGCCCGGGTGAATGCTGTTGATGTCAATGCCACAAGCCCCTAAAAGCAAAACCATATATAAAAGAGCGTATAGTTGCACCTTTCCTATGCATTGGAGCCAAAATTTCTCGTAAATCAAATTGAAAGTCGAGAGGCCAAACCAGAAAAATGTCGTAAGTGTTAAGAACGGTAGTAGTTTGAAGGTTTTACCACAAAAGATCTCGATGCAGTTAATAATAGCAAACTCACTGGTGATAACTTATATATTATTAATAGTACACGCACTAGTTATATATTGTATTCTATTTAATTTGCAATGTGCGACTTTATATTCTTCAACCGTACATTTTGAGGCATTGGTCATAATCTCCACTATGTTCTAATGGAAAGAAGATTAGTGCACATGACTCGGACTCCATTTTAATCTGTCATCAACAATATCTTGATGAAAAAATTCAAAAAAAAAAAAAAAAACATAATCTCTGGTGAGCATTTAAATTTTTAGTAAAAGAGCCATACTAAAAACAAGTGCAGGAAGTCTTTTGATTTTTTTCCTATTTATTAATGATGTCCTACAATCAAGACAATTGGCCTAAATTCGCTTGAACCATTTCATAGAAGTTCGTTGATATTAAGAGCCAAATAAGAAAGTAAATGTATATGTTAGTTAGATTAGTTGATCAGTGCAGTGTACACACCTTCTTGAACTCGAATTTGAATTTCGCTTTCAGTAAATTAGAGCAGATAACCCTTTGTTAAAAAAAAAGGGAAGGAAACAAAGTGAATGTGTACTTACTGCAACATAGAGGAAAGAAGAGGCCAAGATGGTGGGATATCTGTCCCAGTAAGAGTCAACAAGGGGTGCAACTAAGAGTGGGAGCATGGATGTGAACCCACACCAACTGTTCACCGTCTTGGCCGCCGCAGAGTTGCTCATTTGTACCACATCGGTTAAATAAGTAACTAAATTCGATGCCACTCCTTTGTACGCAAATCTCTCCATCCCAGCAATCACTATAATTATGAATAATAAACAGACAAAAATTAACCCATGTGCCTGGTAAAACTCATATCATGAGGTAATTATTGGGCCTAGGGTATGATTAATTACCTATCAGCAGAATGCAAGAGTTGCCGAGTCTTTTTCCTCCTGATCCAGCCATGATGTTCCAATATTATATCAAAGGATGACTGCTCGTGGTCCCTTTAAGATATAACCTCCATTGCGATCCAAGCTACCAGAAAATTGAGCTATAGCCACCGAGCTCGGATTTAGGGTTTATGGGGGAATCAGAGAAGAAGGAAACCTGTAATTAAGCCACAAGAGCTCTCCTATGAATCTTTCATCATCTGGAGATTACTATATGCTGCTACTGTTGTTTTCATATTCCCACCAACAAACAATAATGCAAACTTCATCATCCTTGGCGATACTTTTCCATCCTTTTCCAGACACTTGTGAAAATGTTGTGTATATATAATGGTATACACTCGGCAAATCACTAAGCTCTCCAACAACGCTCGCACTAATTTATAAGGGAATGGAAAGAGATAGCAAAGTTAAACGGATACCACTTTATTTTTTTTCAGTTTTGGGTATATATAATATAATGGTGTCATCATGGCGACAGAATAAGCCCCATATGTCAGTCTCTGAATGTTCACTGTTTGATATCCCACTGAATATATCTGGATGTGCCACATAATGGAACACGTGGATCCTTTGACACGTGGGATGGGCCAGCCCTCCTGCTTTGTGTTCTATGTGATGCGAATCATGTGATACATGGACGATTCCCAAGGTTATTCCCAAGTTCCAACAAGGTAATTATGTAAATGTAAACCATATAGAGTTGGTGGATGATAAATAAATACGATACTTTCAAGCAAGTAAATTTTAAGACGATGTGAAATGGAGATGTGAAATTAAAGGGTAAATTACATAGTAGCTTTTCAGGTTTAAGGTTTATTATAATGTCATACAATATTTTTACAACATTTTATTTTCATACCTTACATACTATTTTATTTCAAAATAATACATCCGTTACATTTTCCATCCATTGATCCGTTAAACGTTGACGTGGCTGCCACATTTATGCCACATGGCTGCCAAATGTGTGCCACGTGGTAAAAATAATAATTTTTAATTTTTTTTAAAACTTGAATCTTCTAAAATTAAAAAAAAAAAATAATAATCAAAAGCTGAAACCTTATCCCCCTCTTCCTCCTCTCTTCACCCCGCAACTCCCAAACCCATAAACCTTATCCCTCATTGTGACATCTCATATCGCCCAGGGAAGTGGATCATGTAAGCCTTATATGTACATTCTCATCTCTACCTAGCACGAGGCTTCTTGGAAGCTCATGGGCTTTAGGTTCCGTCGGAACTCCGAAGTTAAGCGAGTTCACGCGAGGTCAATCCCATGATGGGTGACCCACTGGGAGGTTCTCGTATGAGTTCCCAGAAATAAAACCGTGAGGGCATGGTCGGGGTCAAAAGCGGACAATATTGTGCTACGGTGAAGTCGAACCCGAGATGTGGTGGACCCCGGGTCGGGATGTGACACCCCTCCTCCTCCTCTCTTCTCCCCCATCTTCATCTTCTTCCCCTTCCAACTCAGAAAAAAAAAGGGTAAAGTATAAAAAACTACCTCAACTATTAGTGTCACGACACTTTGTCTTCCCACGCACCCACCCTCAGTTTGTCTTCCCCCCCCCCACCCCCTCTCTTCTCCCTCCCGCAACCCAGAAAAAAAAAAAAAAAAAAAAAACCCAGATCCCATCGGCAGGAAGATGGGTACGCGGAGAAGGTGGAGGATGGGTGCGGAAGAGGATGTGAGTGGTGAATTTGGGGTTGGCAAGGGGTTATGTTTGGGGGGGGGGACGAACTGGGTTCACTTTGTATTTTTTTTTCTTTTTCTTCTCCTTCTTCTTTTTTTTTCTGGGTTCCCGGGGGGGGGGGGGTTGATGGTTTTCAATTTTTTTTTTTTTTTTTTTTTTGGTTTTGGTTGAAGATTAAGCAGGGAAGAAGATGAAGATGGGGAGAGAGAGAGGGGGAAATGGACGAACAGAGGGATTTTTTTATTATTATTATTTTACTTTTCTTTATTATTTTAAAAAATATTAAATAATTTTTTTTTAGTTTTTAATTATATTTTATTAATTTTTTTTATAGAAAATGGGTCTCGAATCAAGCCACGCCAGCATTTAATTGACAAGTAAACGACCAAGTAATGGAAGGTATAACATTGGACCAAATTCTAAAGATGAGGTATGACATTGTCAATTTTAAAAGATGATGTATGAAAGTATTGTGACACCAATAGTTGAGGTAGTTTTTTGTACTTTACCCAAAAAAAAAAAAAAAAACCCTTCAATTCGTCTTCCGCACCCCTTATCTTCCTCCTCCTGTCTTCTCCCCCATCTTCATCTTCTTCACCCTGCAACCCAGAAAAAAAAAAACCCAAATCCCATTTATGCCGCCATCGCTGGGTTCGTGAGGTGGGAGGAATGGATGTGCATTTAAGGAGTGAGGGGTGTGTAGAGGAGAGTGGGGGTGTGTAGAGGAAGGAAGATGGTGGGTGCAGGGGGAAGGATGTGGGTTTCTGGGTGAGGTGGGTCGTGGGGGAGGGAGGGTCCTCATAGGGGTTTTCTTTCTCAGTTTCTGGTTCGTTTTGGGGGGGGGGTAGGTTTTTTCTTTCTGGGTTTCTGGTTCATGGGGGTGTTTGTTTCTAGGTTTCTAGTTTGGGGGGTTCACGGGGGTGGGTTTTCTTTTGTTTTTTTGGTTAGAAGATTTACGTTTTTAAAAAAAAATAAATATTATTATTTTTGTCACGTGGCACACATTTGGCAGCCATGTGGCATAAATGTGGCAGCCATGTCAACGCTTAACGGATCAATGGATAGAAAATGTAACGGAGGTATTATTTTGAAATAAAATAGTACGTGAGGTATGAAAGTGAAATGTTTTAAAGATGTTGTATGAGGTTGTAATAGACCTTAAACCTGATGGGCTAATATGCAATTTACCCAAAATTAAAATGTCAAATTTCATTTTATAGTTGATGTAACAAAATAATATTTTGTAGAGTCTTTTATTTTAATTGAGATTTCAAATTAAAATATTTTTTTGTTATTCAGACAATCAAATGGGTTTGAGTTTAATAATAAAATAATCAATAAGTGAAAAGAAAAAAATTTGTAAGCCCATGATTAAAAAAAAAAAAAAGCGTTGCTTCAAATTTGACAGCAAAGTGAAGAATGTCAATTTACATAAGATTTTGACATCTCCTTTAGAACTAGAAACCACTTCTTTTTTTTGTCAAAGCAGTCCACATAAAATTTGTGAGATCGCCTTAAAGATGCTCTAAATGTAGCTTATTTAACCATTTGCCAAACTTACATTATAGACATGTTAGAATAGATTCCCTAATTTCGGAATCTTCTCTGTGATAATTGTTTTTTATATAGACAAGGTTGATTAATTATAATGGTTAAATTGGATTAATGGTCCATGTAGTAATAAGGTACTCAGAAGATAGCTCATGTGCTAAAAAAAACCTTGGATTTACACCCTTGTAGTGAAGTCCGTTAGGATTAAAACCGAAAATTAACATTTCCATCAACTCTCCGTTAACCCATCAGCCTTCATAACCAATAGGAATGTGGCTGCTATATTTGGCGTGGGATGTTCGCCCACGTTGACACTCAAATGCAGATAACGAGTTCAAATTGCAATCAAACATCTTTGAAGTATTAGCTAAACAAATTCTATTACCTGCACATCCTTTCTCAAACTCACAGAAGACTGAGCACAGGAATAAACAGATGAAGCGAATCCTTCTCCTTTGTTCAACGATTGCTCCAGCCTCCCTTGAAAATCTTCAAGCGCATTAGAATGTAGGTCTCCAAGCATGGCCGAGTACGCAAGCCTCAAGGTAAACAAACTGGAAAATTCAGAGGAAAGCAAGATTTAAACAACAAAAATAAAAAATCGCATTAGTGGCAGCTGCGAATAAAAGTTCGAACCCATTTCTTATGTTCATATTTTGGATTTGTGCCCTGACGTTAATATTCTGGTTTTGATTTTTGGATTTTGCAGGATTTTCAAATTTTATTTATTTTCTGGTCTTTGCAGGTTTTTGTTTGGATACTACCGTTACTCTGCAGGTATTTATCTGAAGTATTTATTTTTCCTTCAAAAAACAAGTTTTTATCTTTCTAAATATATTTTTGGGTTTGTAATTTTTATGTTAGGTATAGATAAGATCTGGGAATTGGGTGACAAGGAGGGGCTTCAGGTTGGTTGAGAAGATCCTGAAAAGTTCGTTCGGACTTGAGTTTCAACCTGGGCAAACATCCCCAAGCCATCTAGTAGCAGATCCCTTTTGGTTATGAAGGCTGAATGAGTTCACGTGGAGTTGATGGAAATTTCAATTTCGGGCTTGAATCCTAACGGAATTCACCACGAATATTTAAATCCTAATTTTTCCATCACGGGGCTATCTTTCAGTTATCACCATGGGGACTACTAATTCAATTTAACCAATTGCCAAACTTATTAATCCAATTTTGACATCGCCTTTAAAGATGATCTAAAATGTAACTTATTTAACCATTTGCCAAACTTACATTGTAGCCAGGTTAGAATAGATTCCCTAATTTCGGAATCTTCTCTGTGATAATTGTTTTTTATATAGACAAGGTTGATTAATTATAATTGGTACATTAGTCCTTTTAAGTACAATATAGATTATTATGACCCTAGATTATAACTTTATTCATTAATTAATATAAGGAATCATAATTCTACAAGACCATAGTTGATGAACGATAATAAATGAGACTATTTCACATGTAAGTACACCCTGAAAACAATCACTTATTTTTCTAAAAAAAAAATCACTTATGAGAAATGAAAATTAAGTAAATAAAACTAACTTACGGAACAATGTTTTTATTTCTCCAAATTCATGTGTGCATGTGTTGATATGTTAGATTGTGAATCTGTAACAAGTAATAATAATCAACATGACCAATAACATGATAAGATAAACATCATATATTGTCAGATAATTTGGCATATCATATACATTTTGCATCAGTATTAATAATCTGAAGTAAACATTTCACAAACAATAACATGCGTGGGCCACACTTGTGAGCGTAATAGATTCAATACTAAAAGTGATGTAATAGAGGGGAATATTTTTATCTCCCTCTCAAGTGAAGGTGATGCACATCTTTATTTATCGTTGTAAAAGGAGTTTAAATTTTAAGATTTATATATTTAATAGACACAAATCTCATAATTTAAATTCATCAAACAATAATAAAATGATGATAAACATTATCATTTGAGAGTGATGAGCAAAAATATACCCTAATAAAACTACCACTATCAGTCTACCACAAGATAAGATCCCATGATGATCAGAAAGCTGCCTCTTTATCCTACGGAGAAAACACTTTTGACTGAGTGTCCAATCTCCATCAATAATGATTCAACTCTCACCATTTTTAATATTAGGGTTTCTATTTGACGTTTTCACATTTCTCTTGCCAAACTGGTCGGTTCTCTCCTTTCAGTGTGTTACGATTTGTTGATCTTTTTGTGTCGAAAAATCCACACAATTAGTGCAATAAAAGCAATAAAGTTATGAGTGCGTTTGATTTTTGGATGCGTTACGTTTGGGAATTGAACTAAGAGACAAAGCATACTGATGACACACCGGGACACACAGCCAACATACGCAGACACACAGTTCACACACAAATGCAGACGGACATGCACATGTACCTCATTAAGATACAGTTGTTGTATATATATGCAGTGGTAGCTGACGAGGATGGCTACCATGTACAAGTTTTAGCTAGGAAGAAACTAAGAAAATCAAAAGAATTTAAAAATTAGGTAAAAGATAACCAGCTGAAGATATATAGTCTGGGAAATATTGACAGATGGAGGGAGCATGAAGGTTCTTCGGTGCTTCGAGGAGTAGTTTAAAACTTTTCATTTGGGTGGCATGCAACGATGGATAGCACTTGATTTCTTTATGGAAACCACTAGCTTTTGTTGCGAAAGATGTTGGAGAGATAGAAATAAAACAAACCGTCAGTTCTACGAGAGTACATTCATGTGACTTTACTATTTCCCTTAAATTATAACACTATGTGATTTATATTCTCAGTATTCAAAAATTTTATTTGTGTTAAGCTACTAAATTAAAGTCAAGTGCACGCGTAGAAAAGCTAATTCCAATTTGATTTTAGGAAAAATAAATGTTGTTATCATTTTTTTTTTTTCTCAAGACATGAGTGCCTGTTAATGGTACCCTACCTACTTTTGAATTGTTCATGGTTGAGCTAGCTATACATGATAATCTTTACAAGAGGGAACGACAGGGGACAGGGTCCAGGGACAACAATGCATCGAGTTAAGAGAACTGTAGTTTTGGTATCTTGAATTCTCCTATTGTTGAGTTGACACACGTATGCAAAGCAATATCGAGACATGAGTGCGCACACTTTCTTGGATGTGGATAAGTCTCATACATAATTAGATTGGCTACATTGCGATTAATTACACTTTTTAATATGCTAATATATTGTTGATATTGTTGATATGTCAATACGTTTTTAATCTTACAATTATTAATATGTGAGCAAAATGGTTGGAGATGTGTCGTCGATAAACTTAACTGTACTTTTAACTGCATTACAAACAGAAAATAGACTATAATTTATAAGGGAATAAATTAATTTATATTTTTCATGCGCGAAAGTTTAACCAACCGATAGTAGTTGAAGTAGTGCTAATTACAAAAGAATCATTCTCATGATGTTTGGTTAGTTTCACTTAAATGCCACTTATAAGTAATTATTTTTTTATATTTCCATACCTTATATAGACTTAGTTTGGTTTATATCTTTAATTTGTTGGTGGTGTCTATTTCCTGCACAGGTGTAATCAGATCTAAATGGACTTAGATTGTCTGCCCTCTCCATCTCATACCATGCCCATACCCTCCTATTTTTGTGATCACGGTTAAGCCAAGTCAACATTTTATATTTCCATTGCTTTTTATCATATTATTTCTGTAAAAAAATTAATATAAAATGTTGACGGAAATTAACCGTGATCACTGAATATAAAAGGGCATGGAAATGGCATGGAATTGGGAGGACAAACAATCCAAGTCCGATCTAAATTGGGAAAGAAAGCTTAAGATAATTTAAATTAAAGTGAAGTGGTGAAATTTAAAATGGAATTGTGATTGTAATCTAGTGACTTTATGTTTCACGATCAGCTCATCATCATCACCATATGATAAAAAAATGCTTCTTTATTACGTCAATCGAAACAGATCGCTTGTCGACATTATGTTTTCTTTGCGACTTTATGTCAATCAAATGGTACCTGAGATGATACATTATGTGTCATTATACAAATAATAGGATAAATATGTTAAAAATTTAATAATTTAAAAAATAAAATTTTCTACCACTCACATAAATACATGTGATTTACCATTCGTGTTTCGATCATAACGAAAATTTCAAATGGCCTACTTAAGAAAGAAAAAGGTTAAATGTATGGATGCATCCTCTGATAGAAGGGGGACTCCCAAAGTGGAGGAATGCTTGAGAAGGTATTTCAGTGTCCGATTTAGAGAATTTTTTTTGGTCAACTGAGATTCTCATTAAAATCATAAATAAGGCAAAAGAAATTAACAATAGGACAATGCAACATTACACAGCATACTCCCTCACATGTCCTGCAACACACTGAAGCATCACTAACCTAGCTACAAGGGCACTATTAGGTTCCATTTGGTACACAGACGAATGGAATGGAATAGAATAGAATGGGATGGGACGGGACGAAACGGAACGGAACAAAGGTTCCGTGTTATGTTTGGTATGCGCAAGACAGAACGGGACGGTTGTTTCGTTCTGCATTTGGTAAGCGCAGAACGGAACAGAACCAAATGACTAAATAACTAACTTACCCCTGTTTCGTCTGTTGTTTAGTACAAAGTGTTATGTATGGGACGGGACGGGATATTTTTTATTTTTTATTTTTTTTTTTGAACTTGTTCATATTGAAACACATGTATGCTTATCTATGATATTTTATTTACACTAGCACATGACTGAAGATTTGTTATGCCATGAATTCCATCTTGCTGACATCAGGATCATGGATAATTGCTTGAAGGTTACTAAGAGGGTTGCTTCAATCCCTCACATCTCTTCTCATCTGATTAAGGCCCCCATAACAATCCACTCGAATGAATCCATTACTCTTTGTCTTTGATGGCAGAGCTGCAGAAAACCATTGCAATTGTCTGCAATGATAGTTAATTAAGATTGACTCAGAATATCAAAAAACTATGCAGTGACCTCACCTTCATCCTAATTCTATTCCCATCAATCATAGCCAAATGCAATGGAAGCAAAATAAGTTGTACCAGTGAGGTGTCCTTGTAGCCACCACTTGCAAGGTCTCCATTCTGCCATCCTCCCAACACTCCATATATCTAATTTGCTCATGCATTCACAAAGTCAATCAGAAACTCATACTTTTCGCAGTTTTTCGTCCCAAAGTAACCGCAAATCCACACTTCAAACTAGTTGTTGGTTATTTTAATTATATTTTATTTTAAAGATTCAAAACTTATTATTATTTTATTTTATTTATTTTTAATATTTAAGAGTTGTGTTTTATTTGAAGAGTCATAATCCTTTTCTAAAAGGGTATGAGAAGTTCTGACATACCCAGACCTAAATCAAGGCATGCTGGCCGTCACGTGAGAGTGACGTAGCCATGTGCGCAGTGTGGAAGTGATAAGGATATAAAAATGTGAGTAAATAAAAACCAAGCTAACTAATTTACACTAGACAAACAAATAGGTGTGAGTGACAAGATTTAAGTGTAAACACACATAATCAGAGCATAGGTAGCCTAAGTGCAGTCCAGCATGATAGATACTAATTATACAATACCAGAAGGATGGTCCTACATTAGTTACAGTTTGTCAGAATCGCCACAGTTTCCTTGCAAGCCACCAACAAGCACGCCTACCTAAAACCTGGAGGGGCGCAAAACAGAAAGTATGAATGGGCAAAAAATAAAGCTTTTCAAAAAAAAAAAAAAAACACTTCTCTTTCCAAAAGTAATAACCTCTCGCCGTAAAACCTGTATAATTTCCTAGAAAATAGAATACTTATCTATATCGAAACCATACTTGAAATAGCCACATCCATAGGTATGTCATGCCAAATATCTCAACATAATGAATTAAGTAAACTAGGTGAAGTAAATCAATGAAAAGTACTATGTCAGCCGGATCTATCTATTGTGGCATGTACGGCTGAACCTATAGCTTGTCAAATATGACTGCACACGAGCCGGAACTACCTAAAGTGGTCTATACGACAGGACTGGGTGTAAATAAATACACTCAAGTGCTACGATCACGTGAAGACTGTGCGAATAATCGCGGGTCATCTACGAGTCGGAACCACCTTGGTCTGTACGACAGGACTGTGCACCAAACTTCGATCCAAGGTGAGCATGCGGTGCG